TGATCAGATTCTCTCCAGTGTGGATTTTCAAGTGGCCTTTAAGGCTGTCTTTTCGACTGAACCCCTTTCCACAGTGTTGACAGGTTAAAGGCTTCTCTCCAGTGTGAACACTCATCTGAACTTTAAGGTTTCTAGTTTCTGTTTTGTAAGTCTCTGAGTAGCTAAAAGAATTCTCTCCACCCATGAAATCATGATATTTCTCATTCTGAGCTTTCTCTTCCATTTCATTCAGTTCTTGACTCTCCTCTTTCAGTGGCATCAGGTCTAGGGTGAACAGAAACAAAAACAAGTCAACACCAGTGTAACAGCACAAAGACATGAAAGCCTTCAGACAGTAAAACATCAAATCCAACAATATATATGTTAGATCCTATACACACTAAACATATGAAAAAGGACACATCCCAAATACTTTAAATATGGCAGTTATCAAACCATTTATAAAAACTAGAGATGCACCAATAGTAACAGCACAAAGACATGAAAGCCTTCAGACAGTAAAACATCAAATCCAACAATATATATGCTAGATCCTATACACACTAAACAAATGAAAAAGGACACATCCCAAATACTTTAAAGATGGCAGTTATCAAACCATTTATAAAAACTAGAGATGCACCAATATCAATAGCCGATTATCCAGAAAGATATCTGCCGATACCGATGCTGATATTCTTAAGGAAAAAAATCCAGTAACCAATGCTGTACAGGGAACCCTCTCATTTGGTACATTACTATAATATTAAAGGTTAAAATTAACAACAGCTATTATATTCAACTGCTACTTATTTTTAGATATCATAATTACACTCATATAAAAATGTAAATGTCTGTATACAACTCATTTGCACATGCTTCATGCCAGATGTATTCAAACATATATAAGTATACTGAACAAAATTATAAACGCAGCACTTTTGTTTTTGCCCCCATTTTTCATGAGCTGAACTCAAAGATCTAAGACTTTTTCTATGCACACAAAAGGCCAATTTCTCTCAAATATTGTTCACAAATCTGTCTAAATCTGTGTTAGTGAGCACTTCTCCTTTGCCGAGATAATCCATCCACCTCACAGGTGTGGCATATCAAGATGCTGATTAGACAGCATGATTATTGCACAGGTGTGCCTTAGGCTGGCCACAATAAAAGGCCACTCAAAAATGTGCAGTTTTATCACACAGCACAATGCCACAGATGTCGCAAGTTTTGAGGGAGCGTGCAGTTGGCATGCTGACTGCAGGAATGTCCAGCAGAGCTGTTGCCTGTGAATTGACCAGCCACCTGGACAGCTGCTGCAACAATCGGTTTGCATAACCAAAGAATTTCTGCACAAACTGTCAGAAACCATCTCAGGGAAGCTCATCTGCATGCTCGTCGTCCTCATCGAGGTCTCGACCTGATTGCAGTTCGCATATGTTATGGACAACGAACACAGGTACATTTTATTGATGGCATTTTGAATGTATGTGTATGTGAAACTGCACATTTTAGAGTGGCCTTTTATTGTGGCCAGCCTAAGGCACACCTGTGCAATAATCATGCTGTCTAATCAGCATCTTGATATGCCACACCTGTGAGGTGGATGGATTATCTCGGCAAAGGAGAAGTGCTCACTAACACAGATTTAGACAGATTTGTGAACAATATTTGAGAGAAATAGGCCTTTTGTGTACATAGAAAAAGTCTTAGATCTTTGAGTTCAGCTCATGAAAAATGCTGTTTTCATGTGGGTGTGTAGTGCTGCTTTCACTATTCTGCATAAATACGCCGGTATTGCCGCCATTCATATACTTTTAATGATTGCCAACATTACAGCCCCGCGTGCAATGCAATGCACCAGTATGGGTTGATAAGGTAAAACTCTGGACAAGTTTTCTTGCGCGTTACCCATTTTTAACGCGTCTTGACTGTCGTACAGTCTGACATTAATAACAACTGAGATCCCACAGTGTGACATGGTCATCATGTTCATTCAGTCTGACAAGTACAATCCTAAAGAACTTTAAAAAAAAAAACGCACAGTGTGAGCCCAGCTTTAGAAAGATGGCAGCATCATTATGTTATTCTTACACAGAGATCGGTAGCTCTATTAGTTAAATCTGTTGACTGTAACAGTTGAATATGTATTCTTCAGACATTCCTCTTTAAATTCAATCAGTATAAGCTGTGTGCGAAGTAAAGCACATTTGGTTTTCAATCACTGAAAATGGGTAAAATGTAAACTATTTGAACAAGGAGCTGCTTTGAGTTCCCTATATCAATGGGACTGAACCATACAGGGTCTTGAAAATTAAGATTTCAAAAGAAAAGTTTGTTAGGAGCCAGAATTTATAATCATACTGAGATCATTTTAATACTTTCTCAGTTGCAGGAATGCAAACTTCGGGGAAAGAAAATTATATTTACAGCACTCAGGTTAGTTCAATGCAGTTGTTTTGATAGAAATAAACAAGACTTGGAGCTGTATTTTGATCACAGTCTCTCTGGAACTGAACCATCGAGGGCTTTAAAAATTATGTTGCCAAAAGGAAAGTTTGTTAAAACCTAATATCTAAAAGGGCAGTAAGATATTTGAACGGTCACCACTGGCACATATACAGCAAGAGAGATTGCAGAAGTCACCAGATTTCACTGACACTCTCCGTGTGAAAGTAATAGTATCTCTCTGGAGTCATTTTCACACCGCTGTAATCTGACTCTGAATCTCAGGGGAAAATTGTCATTTTGACACTCCTCTACAAAAAGAGTGGATTACTCTGTAAACATACATCCGTGACATTTATTATTTTGGTTTTCTTCTTCATTTAGGTATTTCTTTCACCGGAAAAAAATATTCACAAAATCTAAACTTTGAGCCGGGGACCTCTGGTTGAGTCATGTAATGATTACAAGACCCTGATCTGATTATGTGAACTGATTAAGTGATCTGATTATGTGATCTGATTATGTGATGAGATTAAGTGATCTGATTATGTGATCGGATTATGTGATGAGATTAAGTGATGAGATTAAGTGATCTGATTAAGTGATCGGATTATGTGATGAGATTAAGTGATCTGATTAAGTGATCGGATTATGTGATGAGATTAAGTGATCTGATTAAGAGATCTGATTATGTGATGAGATTAAGTGATCTGATTAAGAGATCTGATTATGTGATGAGATTAAGTGATCTGATTAAGAGATCTGATTATGTGATGAGATTAAGTGATCTGATTAAGTGATCGGATTATGTGATGAGATTAAGTGATCTAATTTAAGTGATCTGATTCAGTGATCCGATTAAATGATCCGATTAAGTGATCTGATTATGTGATCTGATTAAGTGATCGGATTAAGTGATCATATTATGTGATGAGATTAAGTGATCTGATTAAGTGATCGGATTAAGTGATCTGATTAAGTGATCGGATTATGTGATGAGATTAAGTGATCTAATTTAAGTGATCTGATTCAGTGATCCGATTAAATGATCCGATTAAGTGATCTGATTATGTGATCTGATTAAGTGATCGGATTAAGTGATCTGATTAAGTGATCGGATTAAGTGATCTGATTAAGTGATCGGATTAAGTGATCTGATTAAGTGATCGGATTAAGTGATCTGATTAAGTGATCGGATTAAGTGATCTGATTAAGTGATCGGATTAAGTGATCTGATTAAGTGATCGGATTAAGTGATCTGATTAAGTGATCGGATTAAGTGATCTGATTAAGTGATCGGATTAAGTGATCTGATTAAGTGATCGGATTAAGTGATCTGATTAAGTGATCGGATTAAGTGATCTGATTAAGTGATCGGATTATGTGATGAGATTAAGTGATCTAATTTAAGTGATCTGATTCAGTGATCCGATTAAATGATCCGATTAAGTGATCTGATTATGTGATCTGATTAAATGATCTGATTAAGTGATCTGATTAAATGATCTGATTAAATGATTCTGATTAAGTGACTTTGAAGATGGGGAAAAAAATCAACTATCAACAATAAATGTGAAATTAATCACTTACATTTTACAGCTTGCTTTTTGCAAAATAAAAGTTTGTTATATTTGCATAATTTAGTGATATACATTAATGATATTTTATTGTTTTTAGTTCAGAAGTAGATATTGGGTTTAATATTGCACAAAATACTTTTTTTGGCTATTTATTGTTTACCATGATTTAATGTGTGACAAAATAACAAGACAAATAGAGATAAAGAGACTCATGACACAGAATGACTTATGCCGAGTTCACACTGCACGATTTTCAAAGACATCACATCACTGTTGGTTTCACACTGAACGACTATCTGGGGGAGCATTCAGTTGTTGCTGTGTTCACACTGCACGATGGAACGAGACAGGTGGTTACACACGGCATGACTTTACAACAGGGAGAATCACTTTTTTGCTACAAAACCCGCCCAATTACTACTCAAAACTAGCCTGAAAATAGCCCAATTGCTTTCGAGGGGGTCCCCCAGTAAAAATCGTGTTCGAGGGTAAAATACACATTTTTTGGCGGGGTTCTCCAGGTACAATTCACATTCCAGGGCCTAAATATCATGTTATTGGGGTCGCTTCAACCTGCTGACATAAAAAACAACCGCCGGCATTCGCGGATTTGGCAACACTGGTCTGCAAACTACGTTTCATATAACTCCTCCCCGAACTTCCCGCTGCCCTGTATCTTGGTCTCTCATTGGCTGTAGGTCATCGCCGATGTAGTTTTCAGTCAGAACTCATTGCACACAGCGTGATTGTGAATCGCCGACAGCTCCAGATATTGAGCATGCCAAATATTACGCGGGCATCGGTGACGCATCAGCGATTCCCTCAGATCACGTCTTTTATAATTCACACTGCGTGATTGTCACTCGCGTGAACGAGCACCGATTTGCCTCCGATTTCGGGCATTTGTCTGCGATTTGTCAGCGAGTGAAAAATCGGGCTAAAATTGTGCAGTGTGAACTTGGCATAAAGAAAGACTTTGAGGATGAAACCAACCTGTTTGTTCCTCAGTATCTTCATGTTTGACTCTGAATACTTCTTCAATCTTCACGTCTTCACTCTCCTCTGTTCATGTAAACATTGTGAGTGTATTTGTAGAGGTTCATTACACGTTTGTGTTGTTGTTCTTGTTGTATTTAGATGCTGTACTGCAGTGATTCCAGCTTAAGACTCTGATAAACTTCGAGCAAATCCACAATTTGACCAAAGTGACACGTCTGACACAACAAATCACTCTCCCAGTTCCTCTTGCTCCAAATTAAAGAGCACTACATAGTAAAACACTTTCAAAGATAACATCATCTGGATTTCACTGATGATCATTTGTTATAATTATATGATTTAGATCATTACTATACCCTTAATCCATCACACAAGCCATTTTAGTCTAACAATAATTATTAAGCTTTTGTTTTAAATCAATATAAATAGATACAGATAATACGCAATATAAATAAGTTTTAGAATCAATAGATAAAGCTTTAAACATGACTACATATGAGTCTCTGTATATATGTAGCCTGTTATCAATTATATAAACTAACTTCACAGCTTTTCTTTAAGCTGTGCTCTTTCATTGACAGCTCTTTTCATCTTTCGGTGTAAATGTGTTTCAATTCTTTATATTGTTCAACCTTTAATCTCGCGAGAATTGAATCACAGCTTTATTACTCGCCAGGGAGCAAGCAGCGTGTTTCTGATGAACTGCTTCTTTTCTGTGACTCATGTGTTACTCACACAAAACTGTTCATTAACAGTATTAGACACATCACAATGCTACATTCCGAAATAATTAATTCATTAAAAACTTCACTATAAACTGTCTAAACCTGGCTGCATTGATAAAAACAAACCTTTCTTCAGCAGAATCACAGATGCAGGAGCACGGCGCAGACTTATGACATCATGTCGCACACCAAAATAAAAGTCCTGTTCACACACTCAAATCAAAAACATATACAAGTGATAAGATTGAGGATTGATTGCAGATTTACAAACATAATTTTACTCGCCATAATAGTCCTCTATGGAATAACAGATACAAAGTGAAAAGAAAGAAATTAATCTTCTGTAAGGAACGAATGGTCTGTCTTCGATCTAATTGACTGGTAATGCTCTTTAAATGAAAAGGAATATAGAACTGATTAAAGCCGTACCTGTTGATTTGACAAACATATGACAGCACAGTTAGCTGTTACTCTTCATCTACACGTATTAAGAGTTCACTAGAAACACTGTAACTCTAGAGGAGTAGCCTACAGAAATATATACGCACATGTTAGTGAAGTCAATGTTGTTTTGAGAAGAAAGTACCTTCAGTGTCCAGTTCCAGCGATAGGATACTCTCAGCTGAAGATCAGGAGACTCTGTAAGCGTGTCATTTGCAGTAATTATATTGAAACGACTGATCATCGTTCATAAACGAGGCTTTAGAGTGGATGAACAAATGCACTGATGTGCCTTTGATAGAAAGAAAATGTATAATTTGGATGTATTTTAAAGAATACAGATAGTGATTATAGAATATATATATATATATATATATACACTGAACAAAATTATAAACGCAACACTTTTGTTTTTGCCCCCATTTGTCATGAGCTGAACTCAAAGATCTAAGACTTTTTCTATGTACACACAAGGCCTATTTCTCTCAAATATTGTTCACAAATCTGTCTAAATCTGTGTTAGTGAGCACTTCTCCTTTGCTGAGATAATCCATCCACCTCACAGGTGTGGCATATCAAGATACTGATTAAACAGCATGATTATTGCACAGGTGGGCCACATTAATTTCCGACCCATGGCCAGAGCCTTACACACACTCCAGCTATGTCCAGATGTCAGGCAACACTCTGCTTTCAGGTTATGTGTGTGTGTTTCACTCAAACTCGCCCCGTGGGAATACTCGCTCCAGGCTGAACTCACAATATGAGAATCTGACATAATGGAATCCAGCCCTGAGCGACGATCGTTTCCTTGAGGCTCCTATTTCATATTAAAGCCATCAGCTGCCTGTGTTTTTCGTTGTCATAACTCCTGACACAAATTAGGAAATTAGGCTACTGTCGCCATGAGATTTTAAGAATAAACCAGAGGACAAAAATTTAAACTTGAGTCTCAGAGCTTTTTTCAGATAATGTGTGTTTACAATGAAACTAACAGTAACTTTGAGCTAACGTAACCAAAGAGCGCTTCAGTGTTCCGGCGTCCTTCCACAGTCTATTTAGCGCTCAATTGAAATATTCAAGCATTCACGTGTTCATGTTCTTCATTAATGCAGTTCATGAGTGAAAATGAAGCCCCACAGACCTGTCACACTATAATGACTCATTTGCATAAGTCCCTGGAGCATCATCTGGGCTCTACTCTTCCCTTATAAAGACAGAGAGCAGGTCTGACAGACTGCTCAACACCACTGAAGTTCAGCATCACTCAAGGTAAGTTATTCAATACTAGAGTATGAAATACTGACAGATTGTGTCAACCATCAGCTTGCCATTTTTTTAAACAGTTTTAGACTAAATGGAGAGGTTTTTCATTACAGAACTTCGTATTGAATTCTTTTCAAAGATATAGCAGATTCATGCAGATTCAATTCCTCAGTCAATCCTAAAGACATTTCAATGAATATAGAAACCCTTTAAGAATCAAATACAGTCTTTTATTCATTATTCTCTCTGTGTTTAATATAATAGAGAGATAACATGATTGCAATTAATGATTGTAGTCTACTGACAATCTATATTTTTGGAATACAATTTTTATATTTTGGGGCAAACTGAAGTGCTGAGATACAATAGATATTTGGTTTGTATGAGGCATGCTGCTGAGGATCTCATTGTGAGAGTCACAAGACGTAAGCATTTGAACACCTGCACAGACTAATAATTGATTATGGATTATGTCATCACTTCATAATGCAAACGGCATTTCAGTGTGTAACAGTAAAATGAGCTTAAATCCTTTCTATCGTGTTCAACAGACGTGAAGAAGTGAAATACAATGGTATACGCAATACTTCACAGCATACTTAAAATGCTTGGACCTCAGCACCTGCATGACTTTAAGAGGCATGTGGAAAGACATCAGCAAATTCCAGCCACTCATCTGAGAGCTGCCAGTGCACATGACACGGTGCATCTGATGATGCAGCATCACGGTCACGAAGACGCTCTGATGATCACACTATACGCCCTGAAGAAGATGAACAAGATGCCGCTGATTAGACACTTGAAGGGCTTGGTCAAGGAAGGTAATACATGTGCTTGCTCCTCCTCAAAGCCATTCACAAGTGGAGCTTCTTCTTCATTATTCAAGACACCTACAAATAAGTCATTTACAAAGTGTGGAAATGACCTAAACATTAATGCAGATTATCACTTGTTGGAATACAAGAGTTGCGAGTTGCAAATAGTAAAGCCTGCCTGTGCTGGCATTTTTTAAAAATTCTATAAAGAACTTTTGATTTAGATAGATATCTAGATGATAGATAGACATAAACATGTAACATAACACTGTAAGCTCATTTGTTATTTTAAGCTTTATTTAATTATTATTATTTTTTTTTAAATCAGAAGGAGTTGAGGGCATCGCAGACGATGTGTTGAAGAAGATTACAGAAGGTAAGAAAGTATAAGAAAAAGTAGTAGTGTAAGACAATATATAAATCTCTCTATATATTCATAAAAGCATGCTTTCTGACCAGTTATTCTTATCATTTGAAGTTAACGATGATGATGATGATGGAGGAGACGGAGGAGGAGGAGGAGGAGATGATGATGGAGGAGACAGAGATGATGATGGAGATGAATAATCATAACGAATAGGTGGTTATACGCATCTTTGCTGCCTGGACCATAATTGTGTTTAAATTGAATGAGTAATATTTGAATAACTGCAAAAACAAGAATTAAGAATAAACTACTCAAACCCTTCAGTGTGTGTGTGTGTGTGTGTTTGACAGCATAATTGTTTAACAGTTCTGTGATGGCTATCACTTCAGTATGTAGCAGAGTCGAAAAGAGGTCAATTTAGCTCAAAGGGAATTTATAGTGACTTTTGACGGAATCAGTGTTTTATGGCTGATCAAATGAACTGGCCGTGATTAATTGAACAGCTGCAACTATCAGCTCTGCAACAGATATTAATATCCAGAGTATACTAGAAACACTATTTCTCAGCACATCGACAAGATGGGCAGTTCAAGATATTAGCTTGTAAACACATTCTCTTTTAAACAGTCAAGACATTATTGGACAAATCGAAGACGTATAAATAAATCGAACACACTCTCACACAAGTTACAGGAAGAGAGAAAGTGAGGGAAGAAGGGGTTTTAGAGAGTGAGAACGTGGAATCCCAAGTGTCTAGCAATAAATGCAATCCCTGAGACCGGAGCGAACCGTCAGTCACTGGAACAGCTGTAGAAAACCCTCATGTATAGATGAAAGTGTGCGGTCATATAAGCCAACTGCAGGCTGCTTCAGTTAGTGTTCAATAACTTTCAGTTGAGCTACAAGTCACTGCTGGCAGCTCATATATGAACACACGCTAAACGCTGATAGATCAGTCAGTGAACAGAACCAACGCAACACAGACTTTAGTCAACTTTATTGAAGTCCGTATATAAATACACATGCACATTTCAAATGTAAACCAAAGTGAACTCAAGTGCAGCTAAAGAAATCCCCGAATCATGCAAGGACGTCAGCTCAATTTACAAAACCCCTCCGACGACTCGGCGTCCTGTAGATGGATCCAGTGCTGGCAAGAAGTCCTCGACCGAAGCCCCATAACATGATTGCAATTAATGATTGTAGTCTACTGACAATCTATATTTTTGGAATACAATTTTTATATTTTGGGGCAAACTGAAGTGCCGAGATACAATAGATATTTGGTTTGTATGAGGCATGCTGCTGAGGATCTCATTGTGAGAGTCACAAGACGTAAGCATTTGAACACCTGCACAGACTAATAATTGATTATGGATTATGTCATCACTTCATAATGCAAAC